AATTGGTCTTTAATATGAAACTATGGTGCTTCTACGCACAAATTTGGAGCCATGACTCCAAGTCAATTCCATTTCAGTTTCCGATGCGGTCCGGTTTGTATTGGAAATTATTGGGTATTTTAGTTAGCAATCATTTTTTCTCTTGTTTCCTTAAAATTTATTACAACTATATTATTTCTTGGTTGACTACATATAGTCGTCATTACATCTGCTTACCTACTTGTACTTATAAATGCTAATCTTTTTTGTTCTTGCTATTATTTATTCTAAAACTGTGTAAAGTGGTAACTTCATTAGCATTGTTATCATCAGTACATTTTTACTCATCTTTTGGCTTACTTTTTCATTAACAATTATTTTACCCATTCAACCGTAGAGCGTCTTCTTCACATGGATCAGGCTCAAATCACCTGCTTCCTTCAGGATGAACTGGCCAAAGACTTCCTCTTTAAGGACGATGTCGCAATTGAATCTTTGAAGGATTGCATAGAGTTGCTTCGGAGATCAAGACTAGACATTCCGCCAACTTTGAGTAGGCATTTTTGCTGCAGCCATTTCCCTAACTCATATTAGCTATCATGCTTTCTTAATATTAACTCAATTGTGCCCCTGGCTTATGTGAAAATAGTGGCAGATCACCTATTAATAGACATTTTTTTGCATTTTCTGCCAATTTATACATTATTTGCTCCCAAGGATTTTCTTCATTCTAGTCGGCCCGTTGGATTGAATGACAACTAATTTGCCTGTCTCTGCATATTAAAACATTATTTCTGGTTTAATCGGTTTTCTCCCACTTTGGAGAGTAATCCACAACATTTTAAGGCGGCATTTTCAGGTACACACACGAAACTCACATTTATTGACACTTAATCTCACTTAATCTCTTAAGCAATCAGGTTGCAATATTTGACTTTGAATGATTATCCTTTTAGGTTCAATTCCTTTATTCTTAGCCCTAAATCCGAACCGTAATTATTATTGACTAGGAAATAGAAATCTTCTTTCCCAAAAATGCTTATTCCATCTTCTCGATTCATCACATTGGTACCATTCTTTAAGAAGAGAGTTAATATTTCCGCATGAATTGAGATAAATTCTTTAGACTCCTATTATATCCATTTATCTAGTCAAAAGTTTGTAGAAGCACTGACCGCTCACAACCACAATTATTGTTTGGCCTATAGCTAGCTAGGAACACCTTAAAACCATTTCATTCAGTTTTTTCATCAGAAGTTTCGATCTCTTTATGGTAATAAATTTGTGGTCAGTTGCTTAGGCTACTATCGTTCATATCTTTGTTATGAAGAAGTCAAAGAATTTATTTCCACGTGGCTATCAATTAAAGAAACCACCTGAATTCACTATCACTCCTCGTCTCTTCTGGAAGATGGTCGGTACCGCTGATGATTTCCACCGGAATCTTCCTCCAGACTCTTTGGCAGAGCATAGTTTAAACGTTTCGAGAGCACTTTCTTGGTGCTAAAGTCCAAAGTTGTTTTGGAGAGGTTTATCACTTTTTCGCCAAATATCCTCTTTTCACTAATGCCTCTCATAGGGAAGGAGTATGAGAATAAGAAGAGAGTGAGAACAATTGAGGAATGAGAGAGGTATAGTGAAGGAAAGTGGGAGTTGGTATAATATTCAGAGAGAGAAATAATGAAAGAGACAAGGCGTAAGGGAAGATCCATCAATTAAAGGTACCACCTTAATTCATTATCACTCTTTGTTTTTCTGGAAGATGGTCGGTACCAATGATGAGTTCCACCGGAATCTTCTTCCGGACTCTTTGGCAAAGCACAGTTCAAGCCTTTTGAGAGCACTTTCTCTTTGCTAAAGTTCAAGGTTGTTTTGGAAAGGTTTACCACTTTTTCACCAACTATCCTCTACTCAAAAATGTCTCTCAGCCGTATTTTGATTAGCCTTTGTCCTGATTCCTATACCCAAATTACCCAAATTTCTTATCATGCCTGTATAGAGCCTGCTGAAAAACAATACCATACAACCTATCCGCCATTATCTGTAATTTATAGTAATCTTTCGAGCTTACAGTGTCGCCAATGATTTGTGTAACCTCGTTTTCCTCCTTATCAAGGTAAATAATTTTATGTCTTCTATGGTCCTAATATATATATATATATATCCAAAATAAAACATAAA